GGTGGGAGATTATGAGAAACAGCAACCTGATCATTCCTTCCCCCGGCGCCTGTATAGCTCACAACTCCCTTCTACTCCTGCAACACTTCGGGGGCGGGTGGGGGGAATCATCTTGGTGAATAACTTCACAGCATCTCTCGCTGGTCTGCTCTTGGTAGTTTTGAATAAGGCCATTCTCTGCCTCCTCGTCACCTGACTCAGGGTAACATTATATAAGCACCTCCAAGGCAACAGCAAAACTGTCTTGAGCAGGAAACACAATTCCCACCCCCACCCCGCCGACTAGAAACATAATTCCCCAATTCCCCTCCCTCCCCGCCTCCATGCATAGGTGCTGGAACTAGGGATACTGGGGGTGCAGGAGCACCCCCTGGTTTGAAGTGGTTTTCATTATATTCAGGGTTTACAGTTTGGTTCAATAGCTTTCAGCACCCTCACTATACAAATTGTTCCGCACCTATAACTCCACGGCACTACAGCAAAGCCGAACGGCATACACCGCCCAGACCAAAATCCCAAAGCACACACCGCTTACCATCCCCGAGGTTCCCCAAGCATGGGAAGGATCTCAGAGAGGTGAAGCCAGAAATGCATGCAAGAAAATGCTGTCGCAGCCTCTTAAAACATGAACAATAACTGCTGGTCTTTTATTTATTTTTAATGCTCCCCAACAACTGCAGCACCTGCACTGGCCAGCCCCTCCAGAACAGGGCCCTTCTCAACAGCCGAGTGGCTGGCAAAGCTGAGGGGGAGAAAACGGAAACCTGCGATGAAATGTTTGCAGACCTCAGCGGCGTCCCCAGAAAACTGAAACCCACAGGGAGGTGGAGGTTGTATCTAAAGACTGAAGGGGAATCCGACAAGGAGCTTTCTGAGGGAGACTGGTGCAGTAGCGAAGGATGGCGGGACAGTTGCCAGGGAAAGCCTTGCCATGGCCAGTATGAGAAAAAAGACAGGGAAATGCCAAGATGCCCTGATGCAGTAGCATACGTCACTATCAGGGCAGCAGGCTCTACCAACCAACCCTCAGCCACGTTCTGCAGCCCCCGAATAACACAGGGTACCTGGAACAACAACTCCTCCCTGCTATATCTCCGCAGCACTGCTCCCTGAGCCATTTCCCTCCCAGACCTGAGCTCAGGGCACCTGGAACCCCTGCTCTTTTGAGCTCTCTATTGCCCCTAGTAACTTTGAGCCCAAGTCCCACGAACCAGAAGAGGCAGAGCCAAGACGTATACTGGCTCCGTGTATCGTGCCCTGCCCTGCCCTATTGTACTTTGCTGTTTTGTTTCACTGCTGGTTTAATGAAAGGTTTCTTTATAGTTAGATTGTTTTGTAATATATAGTTTCAGAATTAAAAGCCGTTGTTTCATATTCAAGTGAAGGTTCGTTTCTGTTTCTTTTATAAAAGCCTTTAAAATTTCATTCATAAGGAGCCAACATCTGCAACAGAAAATAATTAAGCTTGCACTAATTCATCGGGTTTTACAACCACACCAGGCATCGCCGCGACATTGCACTTCCACTGCCCATAAACAACGCTGAACTGCACAAACAACGGGTCTGAGACTCAAAATCAGATCAATCCCTGCCAAGATTGCCCCACCTGTTTGCATGTTGCATTGGACGCCTGGCCGGCTGCTCAGACCGCTGAGTAAGTCTCTGTCCATCAGCTTCCCGCCCATCGCTAAGGCTGGCTCCCTTACTCACAAATATTGGGGCAAAATACAACATGCAGCTGCATAATCTTTGGGATTTGGGGGAAGGGAGGGGGGCTGGATGCTGCTTCCAACAGAGTCCACAAACAGCACCACCTTCCTTTCAAACAGCCAAACCTCCATTCTGCAGCTGCAGAGGCAATCCCTTCCTCCTGTCCAAGCGGCCTGTGAATGGCTTCGTTAAACGGGGAAGCAGAGGCTAAGCTGGGTCTCCCATGATAAACAGACCGATCCTCCACCACACCATGAATATCCAGTGTGATCCTGGGGGCAAACAGTCCTTCCTGCATTAAGGCAACGAGAGCTCAGTTTTGAAAGATTCCTTCCAGACCAGCCTGTAAACCCACCTCCCTGGTAGCACATGCTTGGAGCACCAGGGAGAAATACCCCGCTTCTGTTTATGAGTTCTGAGCCCTGCTGGGGGCCGGAGGGGGGGAACAAATAATAGCCATAAGTCTCATCAGTTGTCCCAATACAGCTCGGGAACCCCGTGCATGCAAAGCCACAAAAACCTCCTGAGCACTAACAAGCTATATAACCTGGTGCAACCGTACCTGGCATCACACACCTGCACGACAATAGCCCCAACAGTCAAGCTCCAAATTGGTTGGCTACGGACTGGGGGGATTCTGAACGGACAATGGTGACCTGCTTGTCCACAGGTCTAGGGCGCCGCCTGTTGGTACGCTGCCGCTGTGGGGCTAGCTCAGCGCATAACTCCCAAAACGCTGCCTTCCCCCCCTCCTGCAATTCTCTCGCCACGGCTGGTCATCCCAGGTCTGCAGAACAATTCGTTCCCTCCAGTCGACGCTGGTTTCCCAGGCCCAGAAGTGGCACTGCTGCTGTGAAGCTGCTCCAGGAACCAGTCCTGTAGCACGGTGGTTCTCCACCTTTTTTCAGTGCAGACGCATAAAAAATCTCAAGTGGAAGTGTGGACCCCTTTGGGAATCTTAGACAGTCTGTGGAGTCCCAGGAGTCCACAGACGGCAGGTTGAAAACCACTGCTCTATCAGTTACCTGGTGTCTTCCTGTTCTGGGTCCTGGTTCCACCGCCACTGAAGGAGCTGCTGCACCATCCCCTGCATGGTGGTGAAGCAGGCAAAGTCCAGTACCAATTTCCTCAGGCTTTGAGCGCTGACATACAGCTCAAGGGGCATGTGTGTATTTGAGATTGCCAGCATAGCGGCATGAAGCATGGCAGGGTCCTCGCTGACCAGGGGCAGCTCCAGGCACCAGTGCTCCAAGCGCGTGCAGGGGGTGTCAAGCCGCAGGGGGGGGGTGCGGCCTGATGGTTGGTGGATTTGGCGGCATGCCTGTGGGAGGTCCGCCAGTCCCACAGCTTCGGCGGCAGGTACACCAAAGGCGCGGGACTGGTGGACCTCCCGCGGGCATGCCGCCGAAGGCTGTCTGACTGCCGTGCTTGGGGCGGCGAAATACATAGAGCCACCCCTGCTGCTGACAGACAGCAGCATGGCCAGCCTACCCAGAAAGGAAGTATGGAAGGAGACAGATGAATCATGAGATTTTTTAAATATGTGAACTAGTCTGGCTTCACTATGCATCCCACAGTGCACAGCAAGTCAAATCCCAGAATGCCCACTGCTCGGCAGCGAAGCCTAGGAGCGTGGCAAACCTTCTGAGAATGCTGCAAACTGAGGATGTGACAAACGGCCACCATGTGTACACAACAATGCAAGCTGCCATCCTGTGTACACACGGTTACTGCGGCTTGCGTACTGTGAATTACCCGACATGCAACAAAAAGCTGCGGATTAACGCCCCCGTGTAGACAAGCCCTTAGGCTATGTCTGCACTACAGACCCTACCACGGATGAAATTTATGTTTGGTCAGGGGAGTGAGCGACAAAAATTGTACCAACAGAAGTGCCAGTGTAGACATAGCGCCAGGGGTGCCGGAATTTGTATAGTGGGGGAGCTGAGAGCCATTGAACCAAACTGTAAACCTTGAATATCATGGAAACCACCTCAAGCCAGGGGGTGCTGCACCCCTAGTTCCAGCACCCTATGCATAGCCTTAGTTTCCAAGAAGCAAGTGCACGAAACTGCTGGAGAACCAGTTTCATAGACACTAGAGGGCACCATATGCCAGTGGAAACCCTTGTTTGGGTAGCCAGAAATAGCAAGCAGGGAGTAGTTTTTGTCCCTTGCTAAGGCTCATGCTACAGGACACGGGCAAGACTTCCTTCTATTTTATCATATGCTATTTCAGGGCTAAGAAGAGCGAGAATCAGCTGAAGGATTTTGTGGGGCAGGCTGAAAGAATCTCTCATGCACTAGGTGCTATTGTAAACAACCTGATGGAGATACAAGCTGCTCTGGAAAAGCACCTCTCTTGTTTTGAATCACAAGCCAGGGGAAAGTATCTAGTCTTCCCTACTAATCTCTTTAGTTACTATTCAGACTGACTTCATGGGTCACAGGAGGCTTTAAAATAACCCTGACCAAAGCACCTCTAGATAGTGCAGTGCACTCACTAATGTGCACCACTGCCCTCTACTGACGGGAACAAAAAGATTGCTCAAGTGTGTGTCATAAGCCCTATATTGCTAAGAGCTTGTGGAGATTCTCCTTTAAGTCTAGTGATCTGGATCTGTTTTTTCAGCAGGAAAACCTCTGCTGTAGCTGTGAAGCTCCAAGTGGCCATGGCATGGAACATAGTGACAGCCAGGAAACCCTTGTTGGCCATTCATTATTATTTTATTTTTTTTACGATCTAATTTACCTTGAGATTTCACCTAGATTCCTCTCGGTCTTAAAAACTTCACACAAACTGGGTGTTCATTCTAGAAGGAGCCACTGTCAAGTCAATCATTTAGGCTCAAATTTCAGGCTGTGTTTTTGTTTTTGTTTTTTTTAAAAGAGAGATTTACAAACTCCGCTGTGAATAAGAGTTGGGGGTTATTTTTGTTTAACGTCATGAAGACAGATACATGTAAGCAAACCCCTACAGAGCTGGAACTGCACACACAAGCAGCAGAGTAAAATGTAGACAGCAAAACCCTATGACAAATAGGCAGCTTTAAAAACTGTAGCCCCGAGGTGCTACGGGCTTTGCGTTGTGCCTTTATACAACATTAAGAATAGGAGGAAGCCACATGACACAGCTGGATTCCAAATAACCATGTCTACTAACTAGATACAAACATACGAGGCCTAGATACATATATGCAATGCTGCTCTGGCAGAGTGTCAGTGGGTTCTGCAATAGAAGCCAACTAGATGGTTCCCAAATTATTTAAAGGGATACAACCCAATTCCTATGCACTGCAATCTGGCTACCCAATTCCCAAACAAATTGATTGAAATTAGGCATCCAAAATCCTCTAAATGGCTTTGAAAAGCTCAGCCTTGATTGCCAAAATTCACACTCTGATAATTGTGGTTTTCTTAGTAAGGTATGAAAGGAAAGTATTCGGGGAATATTTTTACCTCAGTCACGTCCCTTAAACCACATATCAAATTATCAATAGTTTGTTTCTCTTTCTCCCTCTCTCCCGCACTTGCTCTTTTTAAACAACCCAGTTTTGGCCCAGCAGGAGCCAAGGTGATTGCAGTTAATGTAAAGCTTAATTACGGGTTTGTTGTCCCTCCCTGCCCCCTGAAGTCAGTACCAGTGAAATTCTAAGCTCAAGCCAGAAAGACTATTAACGAAGTTGTATCCAAGTTCACGATTAGTCAGGCTGACTCTGGGGAGAAAGGAACACGTCACAGATTTATCGTTAATCTTCACACTCAGCTCTTTAATCAAGGCACCTGTCCAGAAGTTAATAGGAACACAGCTTGACTTACAACACAAAGGAGATTAAGATAAACACTGTCTCCAGTTTTATTTTTTTCAGTTCGGCACAGTTATGATCCACCAAAAAGGAGGCTTCTCACTAGTCTCAGAGCTGTTATTACCATGCAAACTCCTGGGCAGATCCATTAAGAGACCAAAGAGCAGGCTTCCATTTGCAGAGAGAAACTCTTTGCCTTTTCCATTTACACTTCGGGATCAGGGCCTGACAGCGAATCCCCTTTGTAACAAGGGGCTGTCCAGCTCCTGTCCAGCAGGCAAAGAGATCAAAGACACAGCAGGGGGAAGTCTGGCCCTACAGCCCAGAAAGCATAGAGAGCAGAATTTGGGTCACCAGGTGGAGCATTTCAAATTCTTGGATCAAGGGATCATTTTTAATTGCTTTTGGGGGAAGGCCCCAACCTCCTCTCACCCCAGACCTCAGACACCCCCTATTGCAGCAACCCTCCCACAAGCTAAAGAGCCAGTTGTCATGAAAGGGTGAGGCCTCAGTGATACCCAGTGAAGACAAAGGCAGACAGCTCCCCAGTTACCAGGTTCCTTGGTCACAGCTCCCTAATCATTCTCCTAAGGCTCATGCACACACACCCTAACCAGCTGCA